TGATGCAAGAGAGGTGGAATAACAGGTTTACCTTTATTATAGACACTGTTAAAGATTCTCCAGAAGTCTCTGGAGCCAAATATTTTATATGAAACACGAGATATTGTGACCTGAGAATACCAGGCTTTGGTGTTAGCAAAACCTTTTTATGATGGTAAAAAGGTTTTATCTTGCAATCAAAAACAGATGTCAGTTTTCTAGAGAATTGTTTTGATGATAAATATGCAAATAGAGTAATGGTTACAATTGGAAATTGCAGCAGCACAATGAAAGAAAAATCATGGAGAAAAGTGAAGCTTGACTTGGAATCATCGAGAGAAAATAAAAAATTTCTATACCAGTCTGAATCCAAGAAGTTACATAAGAAGCATATTTGTCAGCAGGAAGCAAAAGGTTTCTACTGAAGGGCGATCCCAAAAAAAAAAAAAGATAAGAAAAGTTCCAGTTAGTTTTTTGGCATTTGTAAAAGGTACAATGATAGGAGGATTCTGATGATGAAGAAGATTGAGATAATAGTTTTAGAGAGATCAAACTGTGCTCAGAAGCAAGAATGAATGTGGAAAAACTGAGTACTGACTATAATCAGAAACAAGACATAAATCAAGTAGAGAAGGTAAATGATTTGGATTGTCTAGAAAGCCAGTTGGAAAGTTAGCTATTTGTGTTAGAGATTGAGAAACAACTGCAGAGTCACTGACACTAGAACCAAGCTATTCAGTGTGATGAGCATTAAAATTGCCAACAACAATGATATTGGGTGAAAGATAAAGAGAATGGGATTGGTTGATCAGAAATAATGTTGAAAAATGTGCAGTCTTGAGATGAAGAAGCGCAATATAGAACAAAGAGAAAGGAATAGAGTGAAGTGGTGCTAAACAAAAGAATATAAGTGAATAGTCTGTGAATTCAAACCTAGTTTCCTGACAAATGGGTGAATTCTTATGAATGTAAATGCCCAGGCCAAGCATGTGACTAATGGAGTCTTTAGGAATTAAAACGAGATAACCATTAACACTAAGATCACAAAATGAGGCAGCTGAACTCAAATTATTCTTGCAAAGAGCAAGTAGATCTGGTGAACTTTGCAAGAGACTTAACAGAAGAAAATATAAGAGATAACAGATAAAACTCAACAGAAGAAAAATTACTTTAAAGACCACGAATATCAGTGAATGATAGGTTTAGGGATGATGAAATATTTTTTGATACTTAAACTATTTAATTGTCCAACCAATTGTCTCCCTATTATTAATAAACCCTAAGCCATAACAAAGGGCTGTAAATGTGTTCTTGACAATGCACATTAAAAGTATGAACATCATCCATGCATAACATTGCACTGTTAGTACTTTTCAGCTGTTGATGGAATCAGCTTCTCTAAGAGCTACCACAGTGTTCAGGAAACTACCAGCCAGCCTCAGAGCCATAAAAATTAGTTTTTGAGCTGCACCCTCATTAGGGGATGATAGAATGAGTTACAATGTCATAAAAACAGTGATACACACAAAACCCATGCATCGAAACAAAATGATCCAGGGTTCATCATCCTAAACTGGAAGCAATGTATTATTAATACGTCTACGCCAGCCTAATAAATAAAAAACAGATAGAATCTGTTTTTCTTTTTTTTTTTTTTTTTTTTTTTATTTGCATTCACTCCCAACAAGGCTGCAAGCAGCCACTATTAAGTTGAGAGTTACTAGGAAAAAAAAGAACAGAGTTATAGAGCAAGGAAACGGTTGACAGAAGACTTAAAAAGTTGAAGGTTGTTTAGCATGCCAAACTTTGTCGAAAGCTTTAGATATGTCGAGAGCAATAGCCCTAGCCTCACCGCCTCCATCTAATGCATGATAAAATCTTTCAGTTACAGCAGTTAGCAAGTCAGCCGTAGAGCGAGAGGATCGAAAACCGTATTGATTGTCTGACAGTAATTTATTTGACTCAAGATGAAATGTGAGGAATTTGTTGATCAAAGACTGGATCAACCTGTTTGACTGGAATGGAAGGAAGAGAATGTCCATAAGATTCAAGAGTGGAATTAGAAGAAAAGTTCTTTGCAAATAGTTCTGCTTTTTCCTTGGGAGAGGTAATAAGATCAGTCCCATGAATGAGAGATGGAATGTTAGATCTACCCTTGTTAATAATACTGTTGAAGATTTTCCAAAAGTCTTTAGAGCCTAACTTCTGCGATAAGATGCGAGATTTAGTGAACTGAGAATAATGGAGTTTAGCATCAGAAAGCACCTTTTTACATCGATTTCTTGCAATAATAAATAGCTGTTTGTTCTCAAGAGAGTTGTTCTTTTGAAAAAGATGAAAAAAATGATTACGATTGGATATAGCATTCGCACAAAAAGGAGAAAACCATGGAGTAAAATGAGGCTTGACTTGAAACCAACGCGAAGGAATAAAAGCTTCCATTCCAGCCTGAATCCAAGAGGTTACGTAGGAGGCGCATTTGTCAGCTGAGAGAGAAAAAACATCAGCCCAAGGACCATCACGAAGAAAATCCGGAAAGGAATCCCAGTCAGCTTTAGAGTAGTAGTAGGTGGTGCGATGATAAGGTGAGCCCAAAAAAGAAGTACGACAAGAAAGATTTATAGAGATCATTGCATGGTCAGAACCACCTAAGGGAGAAAAGGGAGAAACTGAGCATAAGCTAGGGTCAGAGACAAGACATAAGTCAAGGAGTGAAGGTAAATGATTAGGGTTGTCAGGAAAACGAGTCAAAAAGTAACTATCTGAGTAAGAGATTGAGAAACGCAGTAGTTAAAGGCTTTAGTGCCAGCAGGATCAGTGGTGTTAGAGCCAAGCCATTCAGTGTGATAGGCATTAAAATCATCAACAACAACAATATTGGCAGAGGGGTAAAGAGAGAGGGCATGGTCAATTTGATCAGAGATATCATCTAAAAGAGTGCAATCATGGGAAGAAGGAGAACGATAAAGAACAAAAAGAAAGGTGATAGAGTGAAGAGGTGCTAGGCGAAAGCACATAAAAGAATGGTCAAAGGATTCAAACCTGATTTCACGACAAATAGGGGAATTAATGCGTATGTATACCCCTAAACCTAGCATGTGACTATTGGAGTCTTTACAAATCAAAGGATAGTACCCATCAACACTGACATCTGAAGAAGGAATTGCAGAATTTAAATTTGTTTCACTGAGTGCAAGCAAGTCTGGTGAATTTTGCAGGAGGTAAGACTCAACTGATGGAAAGTTGCTTCATAGACCGCGAATATTTGTAAAAGTTATATTAAAATATTTAGGTGGTGGGGAAAGTCTTTTCCTAGAAGGCCTTCTACTACTTCTTTTCCTAGAAGGCTCTTTAAGTCTTTTCCTAGAAGGCCTTCTACAATATAGTGGCCAGATGCATTTAATGTCTGCCGATGATGAGTATTTTTATCAAGACACTATCTCTAGCCTTCAAGACTGGAGCCCCTATGTAATGGGTGTGTTTAGTCAGAGTTAGCATCTCCTAACCTTTGCGTTAAAAAGTATTTTCTAAGGCAGTTGGACATGAAGCAGTTTGTACTGGGTTACATTTTACCAGTAGTAGGATAACTTGACCTGACATTAATTATAATTATTATAATATATAATTACTTATAGGCACAGAATTTTATAAATTTTTATTTCAGAATTACTATTAAATTATTGTTATTAAAAGTATGTTCCAGGCCAAACCTGTCTTTTTATAATGTAGTTATTTAAATAAAATGTTGACAATGACAAAATAAAAAGATTTGTGCACACAATATTACATTGAAAATTTTTTATCATATTTGTACTTTTTTATAAATGATAGGTATAATTTATAGCTATGTTATAAAATACCTCCTATTCCAAACTATCTACGTTATGTACAACATTATTTTCTTCGATAGTCAAACCTGCCTGGTTATTATGCAGTTATTATTAAAAAATGCTGTTAATGTCAAAATAATCTGCATAATTCACTTATTAATATTTCAAAAACCTTACCATGTTTTCCTATTTTCACTCAGTTGTTCTTGGAACATAATCATTTAACATAGTTAACCCAAGGGAATTTAATGTAACCATTAAAATTCCTTGGGTTAACTATGAAACACACGGTGTACAACATGACCTGTGAATTAAAAACCATGGTTTAACTGGGCTCTTTAGAATGCTTTTTGTTTTTAATAAAAATCTAAAGGTTAAGTATAGAACTCCCATAAATTATTCTTAAGGATCATATTTATCTTTTTTATAATTCAGAATTATTTGTTTCTAGTGTCAAGATATATTGTCAGAAGCACGGGATTTAATGCTAATTGACATTCATAATATGATTCAAGTATCACCAAGCTGTGATCGAGCTGCCATCTCTATATCTGAAAATGAACAGCTGGATAAAAAAATAAAGAATATGGTAAGTCTCAAGAGTATAATTGACTTAATTGACTTAATTGATTTAATGTTTTTATTGACTTAATTGATTTAATGTTTTTATTGACTTAATTGATTTAATGTTTTTATTGACTTAATTGATTTAATTTTTTTATTGACTTAATTGATTTAATGTTTTTATAGTTATTTTATTGCTATATTTCTATAATTATGATGGGCACAAATATTTTTAAATTTTATTTTAAACTTATCAATTTTAAAATCTGATAATCTTTTTTTTTTCATAATGAATTATTGATTTAATGTTTTTATTGACTTAATTGATTTAATTGATTTAATTGACTTAATTGATTTAATGTTTTTATTGAATTAATTGATTTAATGTTTTTATTGACTTAATTGATTTAATGTTTTTATTGACTTAATTGATTTAATGTTTTTATAGTTATTTTATTGCTATATTTCTATAATTATGATGGGCACAAATACTTTTAAATTTTATTTTAAACTTATCAATTTTAAAATCTGATAATCTTTTTTTTTTCATAATGAATTATTGATTTAATGTTTTTATTGACTTAATTGATTTAATTGATTTAATTGACTTAATTGATTTAATGTTTTTATTGACTTAATTGATTTAATGTTTTTATTGACTTAATTGATTTAATTGATTTAATTGACTTAATTGATTTAATGTTTTTATTGACTTAATTGATTTAATGTTTTTATTGACTTAATTGATTTAATGTTTTTATTGACTTAATTGATTTAATGTTTTAATTGACTTAATTGATTTAACGTTTTTATTGACTTAATTGATTTAATGTTTTTATTGACTTAATTGATTTAATGTTTTTATTGACTTAATTGATTTAATGTTTTTATTGACTTGATTGATTTAATGTTTTTATTGACTTAATTGATTTAATGTTTTTATTGACTTAATTGATTTAATGTTTTTATTGACTTAATTGATTTAATGTTTTTATTGACTTAATTGATTTAATGTTTTTATTGACTTAATTGATTTAATGTTTTTATTGACTTAATTGATTTAATGTTTTAATTGACTTAATTGATTTAATGTTTTTATTGACTTAATTGATTTAATGTTTTTATTGACTTAATTGATTTAATGTTTTTATTGACTTAATTGATTTAATGTTTTTATTGACTTGATTGATTTAATGTTTTTATTGACTTAATTGAATTAATGTTTTTATTGACTTAATTGATTTAATGTTTTTATTGACTTGATTGATTCAATGTTTTTATTGACTTAATTGATTTAATGTTTTAATTGACTTAATTGATTTAATGTTTTTATTGACTTAATTGATTTAATGTTTTTATTGACTTAATTGATTTAATGTTTTTATTGACTTGATTGATTTAATGTTTTTATTGACTTAATTGAATTAATGTTTTTATTGACTTAATTGATTTAATGTTTTTATAGTTATTTTATTGCTATATTTCTATAATTATGATGGGCACAAATACTTCTAAATTTTATTTTAAACTTATCAATTTTAAAATCTGATAATCTTTTTTTTTTCATAATGAATTATTTTCCACATCTTTCAAGGTTTTTATCTATAACTAAGGTCAAGTTAAAACAATTAAAAAATGTCGGTAAAGTTGTAAAGCAGTAAATTTTTTTTTATCAGATGGTCCTATTTTTATCAGATGGTCCTATTTTGCAGGAATTTTAGTAATTTTAAAGGCAGACCATTAATACCTGTTAGTGCTTTATAAGTAACTTATTTACTAAAACAGTAAATAAGTTACTTATAAAACTGCGGTAGATTCTGAGTAAATGTTTCCGTATTATTTTAAATTACTACATAAATCAAGCAGAACATAAATATATGAAAATATAAAATATAAATTAAGATTTTCCAAAAATCTTAGGAGTTTAACTTCTGAAACCAATTACAAGATAAACTATACACACAAGTTACCATGGTAATAACTTCTTAACCATAACCATAACCATATGACCATAACTTCTTAGAAGAAAGAGTATCAAATATTTTGATTGTATTTTTAAATATTCTTATTTTTTAAATATAATTGTCTAATTATATTTTTAATATATACTCACATATTAATCTAATTAATCTAAAGTCATATATTAATCTAATTAATCTAAATATCAATTAAAAATAATTCATAATTATTACTACATAAGTTCTACCAGATAATATTATTATCTAATTCATTTCTTAAATATTCAATTCATTTCCTTCCAAGATTTTCTTTTGTAAATATCAACGTCTCTCATTTCTTGGCTACTGTTCTTTCCCGTTATTTTTTGAAGCTTCTCAGCCACTCGTAGTTTTTTCATAGCAAATCATAAATTTTTCAGCCACTGGGAGTTAATCTATATTTATAAAAACTGATACATACATGAATGTACTATCAGTTATTTTTTTTATCAGTTGACTTAATCATAAAAGCTTCAGGTTAAAACTTTTACACTAAACCCCAGATTAAACTGAAAAGTTTTAGTAAGAAAAACTGTATTTTTTATGCAATTGTCAATAGCTTATAACGAACTTGTTTTGGTTGGTGAAAATATACCAAGTGTTCCAACGCATACCCAAAAAGCAACCAGACATTTTAAGTTTAAAGCAGTTGATCTAATACTGATCATAATAAATTTTCTTTCTCTATTCAATAAAACACTATAAAATTTATTTAAAGGTTTTGCAAGTCATACTAAAAAACATATTTAAAGTGGCAAAAAAATACGTCAAAAGATGACATAATATAAAGAAATATTTTAGCATTAACGATAATATTTTACAAATAAATTTAATCTTGTTTAAGTTGAATGATGATTTAGATTTGAGGATACTTTTCCTATTAAAAATATTAATAATAATACATTTACATTATCTAAGATTTATGTTTTATTTACACATTAATTATATGTTTAATATAAAATAATACAATTTATTTTTAATGTCTCCTATAGTCTCTCCTTAAAATGAACAAATAAATGAACACAGTAACTTAACTAATAAGTTTACTTTTTTTAATATCAAACAACAAAGTTAAAAACATTTATAACAGTAAAAAAAATCAACTAAAATCTGAAATTGCTAAAGGTATAGCTTTCTAATTTTATTGGACAAAATATATGTTATGTGCAGTTCTTTTCTCTGAAAACATACTAATTTTACTTATATCCATAATTATATATATATATATATATGCATAATTATATATATATGCATAATTATATGCATAATATGCGAACCATGTAAATAAAATAGTCATAGTTCATATACATTTAACATATAAAACTTCATAGACGTATATCATATACAACTCATGAAATACAGCAAACAAAAAAAAAATATTTCGGGATTTTCAGAAATAAATTTGTTAATCTAATTAAAATAGAAAGTCTTTCATTTATTGAGCTGCTCGTAATTCTTTCACAGTCCTCGTAGCTGCTCGTAATTTTTTCACAGTTCTCGTAGCTGCTCGTAATTCTTTCACAGTTCGCCATTTGATTTAGATAGACAGTTGTTGATAAATTTTTTCAATACATGTGTACACATGAGCTACAATGTACCACCATGTCCCAGATAATAGAATAAATTTGTTAAAAATATGGCAACATATTCTTAGTCATGTTACTTGCAATTAAGTAAAATATGTTACCATAATCGTTAAGATCCATGAGAAATTTATTGGGACCCATAGAATTGGGACCTATGAGGTAACCATGAAGACTTATGAGGTGTTTATGAAACACACGGGGTGCAACATGACCTATGAATTAAAATCATGGTTTAACCATGGAGCTCAATAGAATTCTATTAGTTTTCAATGATTCCCGAAGATTGACATGGAATGTTTCTGTAAAGGACTTCATCTCGAAATCATTAATTTGTTACTTAGATACTTTTTACACTAAGGTCTTTATTTGTTCATACAAAGAAACAAAATATTTAAAAAACCTAAAAAAATAAGGCTTAATGAAAAAAGAAAATGTATTTAAAAATTCACTAGGTTGACATAAAATACAAAATAGAGTATATTTTACTTTTTAATACTTTTCCAGCTATTAGGTCTCGATTCGATACAAGATGAATTTTTAAGTGTTGATGTGTTTGCGTTTCCTGTTTGTTACATAAGCGAAAGTGTACAGAAGCTTGTTGATTTTATTTATGCGCAGATGGTTAAAGCAACTGAATCACAATATTCTATGTAAGTGTTTTTTTTTTTTTTTTTTTTTATATCCTTTGCAAATGTTGTTTGTAATGTCTTATGTAATTGTTGTTTGTAACGTTCTATACAAGTGTTAATTGCAATATTCTATGCAAGTGTTGTTCGTACTTATTAATTTAAAAAACTTTTTTTAAACTTTTCAATTTTTGTTTCTAGCGCTTCAAAAATTTTCTACTCTTGCCGCGATATTTTTGAATTATATGTCAATGTTGTTCCTATCTATCATAAAGAAAGTTTGGTATATCCTTATTACAATTTATTTTAGCCATTTTTATGTTTTTTTCTAATTTATCTGCAAAAAACTGCAAAAATTGTTTAATTAATCATATTCTTGTTGTATAAAATATATATGTATATTTTTTTTTTGTATGTATGCTTTTAAAAACGCACACACGCATACAAAAACGCTTTCTATGAAGTTTCTAAACGCAAATCTTCATAAACTATAAGAATCATTTTTGCGTATAGAAACTTCCTCAATTGGCCGCTCTACACTACAACAACTGTATGTATCTTTCCCATCATTGCATCACACTTGGACATCAATTCAGAAGTAGTTTGCCTGGACATCTACAAAGCGCTCTTACAACGTTCATCGATTATGTTCCAGTTTTGAGGAGGTGTGGGACCAGATGTTTTACAGAACAAATTGTATGCAAATTAAAGTAAAAATAAATTTAATAATATATAAATAACATAATCTATGGTCAACAATTTTGATAAATTTTTTGTTTAATATATAGAGAAGTCAGCAGCAGGATTTAATGACAGCATTAGACGCATGTAACAGTTTTGTTAACTGTGTTTCTAATGGAAGTGTTGAGACTATACAAAGAGCTATTAATCAGGTGTGAAACTCTAGTTTCTATTATTACTTCAAAGTTACTAATATGATTTAAAAAATGGTATACTTTTTTTTACCAACCTTTAGCACTGTTTATACCAAATTAACGGTATTAGCAGATGTGGTGCTAGAATTTTTCAGTTTTAAAATTTATAGGTGCTGCATGTGCTCACAAGACTTTCGAAAGTATGGTACGGTGTCCTTCCCATTACTTTTTTCAAAAAGACTCTAGCAATTTTGTTTGACTCTGTTCTTGAAAATATTATATCTTCTGTTTTGAAACTTGAGGTATTTATACAATTAATTAGTTTTTAATAATATATTAATTAGTTTTTGAATAAAAAAAATATTAATTTATCTTTGTAATAAGTATAAAATTACTATTTGTTTGGTTTTTCCAAGTATTTCTAGAAACTCCTTAGTTTACTTTAGACTAATGAAACTCACATCTGGAAAATTCTCTTTGGAATCATTTACTTCAAAAACGTTTTTCTCGGGATATTGCTCTTAAATAAATTTTACCCGTAAAATTTACACTCGTTAAATCCATATTTATGATTTGGGCGACGAGGATAACGTGTAGGGATATCCAAATTTGTATACTCGTCGAATGTAATTAGATGCTTATATGGTGGCAGTTTACCGGGGAGGGGGGCGTTAAGTAGGAATATTTCAGTACGTAGGATTATGTAATTTGTCTTTAAATTATAGGATATTTCGGCAGAAGAAGCTGGGCAGTTGCACTCGTTACTAGGTTCTTTACTGGAAAGATCAAGTATTATTACCCAGCAATGCTCTGATGAGTTTGTTGTAAGTTTTGATTCAGGGTTTTTGTTTATTTGTTTTGTTTTTGAATAATCTAATTAACTTAATTTTTTTTAGGGTATTAAAGAACACGTACGGTGTTGGGATAAATTTAACATGCTTATTCAGATGTTGGAAGCTAGCCTGCAAACGATTGTTGCAATGTGGGATAACGGGGAGGTCAGTTTTCAATATCAATTGACAAAAACAAATATATAATAATGTTTGTTTTATATCAATGTTTGTTTAATAATTAGGGCGAGTTAGCAAAATGCATGAACGATGGGGAAGTACGGACATTAGTCAGAGCACTTTTTCAAAATACAGATCGGCGATCACAAGCACTCGCGAAGATTCAACAAAAATTAGAGGCTTTGTGAGCAGACTTATGTGTTTATTGTTCAAAACGGAATGGATTAGTTTCACCATTTTTGAACAGTTTGAGAATTAAATATAAAAAATTATTGTTTTAAAATGATTTCAATACATTTTAAGCTTTGTAAATATGATAATCGAAAGTTTTTAATGTCTTCTTCGTTAACATTCTGATTTTTTAAATTAAGTTTAGTTATTTATATTTAACCTTAAAAATTTTTATTTTTTTTATTTGAGTTCTGGGTTCCTCCGTTATTTAGTTTTAAGCTAAATTTTTTTGAATTGTTTTCTATTGCTTGTTTTTTTATATTGTTCTCTATTTTACAGTCTCCTTTAAAGCAACAGAACCTCCACAAAGGCATGGCATCGTAGTTGCTTGTAGTTGAACACCACGGCAATGAGCGGGATTTTTTTATACAGTGCCAGTAACTTGCACCTTCGTAGACAAATGGAAAAACACAGTTTTCTTTCGAATTTCCTCCAAATGTTTCTACCTTGCCTTCAGACATAAGCTCCAGAGAGTCAGTTGTTGAATTATTATTCAGGATATTTTTGATACTTGTAATCGTTTTTATATCTTTAATGAAACTTAATTGTTTCATTGAGTCTTTATTATAAATGTTTAAATCAATTAAATCAGGTTTTGAAAATAACTTTTCAGATTCAATTGTGAAATTTTTTTCTTTGAACTTGTTAATAAATAAGTTTTCTTGCTTAACTTCAGCGGTTTTCTGAGTCTTGTGAAAACTTGCTGTTGGATCCATTCTTTCAACAAATTTATTTACTTCGTTATTGAATCCTTCTACGCTAACATTGGTTGTTAATTTTTTACTACTGTTATGAAGCAGGCTGACGCTGGTTTTTTCTTTTTCGTCTCCGTTCCATTTTGACGGTTTTTCGTCAGGTTCGTGTTCATGTATTACTTTAATTAAGTAGTTTCCATTTTTTGATAATTCATCATCATCGCCCACACTCTTTAAATCATTTATTGTATTTTGTAAAGGTATTTCTGTAGAGTCGTAATACTCAAAATCTTTATCATTCGGATTTAAATAGTTTAGATTGCTTGGGTCTTCCTTATCAGGTTGATTCTCGATCTTTAAATCTATGTCTTTTATTTTCTTGATTTTACCATCCTTTGTCATCACTTCGAGTGTTGAGATCCACTTTCGTTCTTTTTTAGTTGATTGCAGTTGTTTTGCAGGTTCGTCCGTTAGATTCATACTCGTATGATTTTTTTGGGTAAATGTAACCAGGCTGTCTTCAAATAGCAGTTTTTTGCTGACATCTAAAATGAAAAGCAAAATTAATCACGTTGCTCGAAACCGATCATGTATAGATTAATCTACGTCAACAAAATCTTTCAGAGGGGACAAAACTAACATTAAAATAATAATTTGCTCATCTCGTGCGTTAAATCTAATAGTGGGTCGTTAAATGTAATCGTGCGTTACATTTATAATATTCGTTTTTGAAAGCTATGCGAGAATAAAAGATTATTACATTTTTTTTTTTTTTTTTTGCTTATTATTAATACTATTTAAAATCCTTCTGTGAAAACACCATACACCCTCTGTAAACAAACCCCATAACTACTGATTTTTATGCGGAAAAATCTAAACTAATTGCAAATATTAAGAAATTTGTTCGTAAGTACATTTTGGATTGGATTTTAAACAGTTTCTAGTTTTGTTTTTGGACTTGAATTCAAATTGTGTAATTTGTTGTTACGATTTGGTTCTTCATACAGCTCGGTTTTGAATATTTTTTCTAACACATACGTTCTCTTAAACATCTCAGTTACACATTCACACTTATGCATTGCATATATTACTGAATATCAATTACTGCATGTATTGTATTGAGTCATTAATTTTTAAAACTAAATGAAAAGTTTATTATTAGCGGGTTTACCTCATAAATTTTTTTATATCCCTAAGTACAAAATTTTGGGGAAAACAATGATTTTAGATATCTTTTAGTGATAATTCATTTGCGATTTTAGACATTACCTTCCTTTGTTGATGTTTCTTGCTCAGTATCCCCAATTAGCATTTGTCCGTGCGAGTTGTGTTTCGCTTCTTCAATGTGATTTGCAAAAACTGAGCTCTCTCGTATATCTTTGCTATCATTTTTGTTTTGCTCTGAAACATTTTTTCCATATATAAGACCATTATTTTCATTTTTGCTGGAGGAAACATTAGAAGAAAAATTAGAATTATCGTTGCCTTTTTCTTCGATTAGATTAAGTACTCCGTAGTCTTCCAAATCAATTTTACTAAAACGAGTTTCTCTATCATCCTTAACATTATCATCGTGAACAATTTGTTTTGAATTCCATTTTAAGAATTCAGGTTCTATGTTCTGATTTATTGATGAGTTTTTATTTTTAACTCCATTTAAAATGTCATTTTCAATTTGTTCTAATGTTTTCATGTCTTTGTTTGTTAAATCCTTATTGTTATGAGTTAATTGAACGGATTGATTGTAAGTTGGTTGGTTAATCAGGTCATATAAGTCATGAGCTTGTCCAAAAACATCCGTACTTTCATCGCTTTTAGAAACGTCTTTAATTCTATTGAGAATGTGGTTTACAAGTTTGTTGAATTCTCCTGAAGTTTTTTCCTTGGAAGTTTGGTTTTGCATTTTCTCAATAGAATGAAGCGTTTGTTCTTTTTTATGGATCGCATTCGATTGCGATTGATTTTTGCTTATTGTAATTTTATTTTTTGTGCGATCAAAAACATCTTTACTGTTTGTTTTCATAAATTTAGAGAGTTTTATTGTTGGGCTGAAGGCTTCTTTTTTATCGCTCAACGTGTTATTTAATGGAAGTTTAGCCACGTTTTTATCTTTTAAAGTTAAAGGCTGCTTTACGGAATTCGTAAATTTAGAAGTTTGTATTTTTAACTTTTTATTTTCCTCGTTTTTTATTTGTTGTTCGTGTTTTTTAGTATTTTCTATTTTTTTATCTTTTTTCTTAGGAATGAAAATTTCTTTTGCTTTGTTTTCACTTACTTTATTACTCGAATTTTTTAGAACTTTTGGCGAAATTTTTCCATTTACGTTTGTGTTTTGTGCCTTAAAATCCAATGCTTTGTTTTCACGAGACGCTTTATGTGGCGGATTCTCATTTATTTTTTCAAATATCACAGATACTAACTTATCAGCAAGTTCTTCAGTCTGCTTTTTCATTAAAGGTGTGACAAAAAGTTTTTTAGTTTTGTTATTTATTTCATATTTGTGAGAGTTCTGCGTAGGACTAACCAACAATGTATTGTCAAATTTTTTCTCATCTAAAATTTGTTTAGCTTTCTCTAAAAGCGGCTGTTCGTAAGGGCTGTTTGATTTCAACTTTAGGATGTTATCAAAAACGCAATAACCCCATTGTAGGTCGCGATCATAGTTGCTCGTAACAGAACACCATTTTTTATCGAGTTTTTCTGGCGTTTTAATGCATTTGAAAACTGTCTTACCGTACATTACAAAAGGAAAAACACAAGTTTTGTTATGTCCGTTTCCTCCCGTAGTTACTATTGCCACATCATTGATTATATTTCTAGTCGACGCCATCAGGACGCCTTTTTTTGTTAAGCCGGATTGTTGAAGCTTGCCCTTAGTTTTTATAAAATGGCGGGTGTAAGCTTTTGTTGAAGTGGATCTATCTTTAGGCCTTTTTTCATTTTGCATCGTGGTCCTTAATTCCAACTTACCTGCAGTATCTGTAGAATCAGAATTAAGTTCCCTGTTGTAATCGCTATTTGTATCGTTTAAATAGGAGCGGAGTTTTTTCAATTTAGAAATCATTGCAGCACTGCAATAAAGTGAAGAATCCTCGCATTTTGTTGACAAGTTATTCATTTCTTTTTCTTAAAAAAAATAAAGAATTAGTTTAACACAAAATATAAAAATTATTTTTTTGTTTGTAATAATATTTCACAAACCTTTAGTTGTGTCTTTGTTATGTAGTTTGTTTTGGTGGTTGTTAAATCTCTTAAAAGTCTCAATTTTTGTTTCATTAGTTCCGTTCTTCGTAATAAAATAAATGCTTTTTGGAAACGATTCTTTGGTATAAGCTAAAAATAAAAATTTAATAAAACTAAGTAAAAATAAAAAATAAGCAATTATTAAGAATAAAAATTAAATGATAATTATTAAAAACTTTTAGTTTTGAATTTGAGAACACTGTAAAGAAATCAATTTTAAAAATGTGATAACAAAATAAGTAGAAATTCTCGAATTGGTAAAGAATATCGTTTACGGTAAAAAAAAGCCACATTATTTACGATAGCTGGAGCATTTGAATTAACAACTAAGATTCAAAACTTAAAATAAAAATTGTCGCAAAAATAAAAAACTTTGGTAGTTTGATAAACGTTTTGAACTAACTTTAATATCGAAGTTTACCAACTTTAATATTGCAATGTATTAACTTTAATATCAAAGTACCTGTCCTATGGAAAAATACCTTTTGTAAAAACACTTCGAAGGCAAGTATTTTTGATATTTGTAAGTTTAGGCATTGGATAACTTTCAGACAAGGATTAAATCTAAAGTTTTGTATGTTTATAATTAAAACGAATGAGGATGCTTCCCAAATGGGTCAAACAATAAAATCTCTCAAACAAAAGAAGCTTCTCATCCCCAAATGAATAAGCAGTAGTTTGATTTTATAGTTTGAACATACAAAAATTTGAACCCCCCTCCCTCTCTCTCTTAGTTGGAGTAGGTTACAAACTTTATTAGGTCATAAGTTTTGAAAAATAAAGGATTATAGTATGAAATTTAAAATTTATCATTGAATATAAATTTAGTTGAGAATAGTAAAAAAAATATTTTAGTAACTTGTTGCTTTCACGTTTGGGGCAGTTGTAGCCAAAATTTTAGGCCTTTTTGTTACGAGGCTCTAATTATTTCAAAGCATCCTTATTTAATATAAGTATAAACATATAAATGTTTGGAGTTTATTTCATGTCTGGAATATTAGTTAATCTCAAGCATCAAAAAATAATGTATTCGCCCCTGAACTGTATGTATATATACATGTATATGAAGACTCCACGGGAAGAAACGACAGGGTCCTTTTTTTTCATTTTAAGAAAACTGAATATTAAACTTTAAAAAAAGGGTAAACTTGTAAGGTATTTTGCAAAAGTACCTTATTTTTTTGTAATTAATGTTATATTTCCAGGTCAGGTGCAATAACTTTCATTTTAGACTTTCATCTTTTTTAAATGAAGTTTTTTTTTGGACCCTGCTGTTTTTTCCCTGGTATAACGACTGTGTTCGTTTTTTTATTAATTCATAAACTAAATCATTAATTTTTTAGTTAAAGTAACTTAATAAAACAGTTCAATCTTTAAACCTTTTACAGTTACATTCAAGCTCTGTTTTATGAGATGCTAGTCTTTGTTTTTTTATACTTTCGCGCAATCTTTATTTTTTTCTTTTCTTGGGTTTTTTTGTTACTTGTTCTAATGGTTCAAATGTCACCATTTTGAGTAATAAACTTTAACCGAATCAACTGCGAGTATTATGAAAAAAAATTGACTTGGAACTTTTAATTTTAGTCTTGGAAATTCAAAGAGGTGTTTGGTTTATGTCTTTTAGTAAGTTCGATTGTTTGAAAACTTGTTTTTTCGGGGAGGTAACTATTAGTATAATTAAGAAGAGAGGCATAATTCTATCAAACTTTATATATACATAAAATCAATTATTTTATGCAAAATCGAATACAAAAGATGGCTCTATAATATATAAATATGTACCTTAAAAACAGACAATTTTTTTTCACACGTAAAGGCCGTAATTGGTTTAATTAAGCCAAGTTGTTGTTAATTCCTGCAAAATTATTTAAGGTAAGATTTAATGATTTTGTGTCTTACTTGAATTTGTTATAATTTCCATGATATTTACAAATAAATCTATCAAATAAGTAATATGAATGATAATAGAGAATGAATGTAATTGTCAAACGTTGCATTTTTTTTTTTTTTTTTTTTTTTCCAATAATCAAGGAAAATTGTTCAACAGCGATTAGGCAATGACCTTGGACTGTGGCCTTAATACCTCTGTGATTGTTTAAGTTTTTTTAAACAAGGTTCTGATCGTATTGAGAATTTTTATTTCCCTCGAGGTGAAAAAGATTCTCAAAAGGTCAGTGTTTCTTATTACACTAAAGTTTTTTTCTAATGATGAAAAGATGTTGGTTAGTTTATTCGTAATCTAAAAATGCTGTGTTCTTTTCCTGTTGCAAGTTGTTTTCAAGATCTAAAAAGAAATTATCAGATCGTGGTGGTGGTGTTTGCTACTGACGTAAACTGTAAGTAGAATTAAAAATTTACGAAAACAGTAAATCTCATATGGAAGCTATGCAGAAATGGATTACTACAGAAAATGCAATATAAAAAAAAAAGATTCATTTTGACCATGAAATGGTCAAAATTAATAGTTATTGATCAGGAAGGTAAACAATAAGCAGCTGTGTTAGAAAGACTTCTTTCATCAACACATTTCTTAATTGAAAGAAACATAGCTTTTCGTGTTTCAATTAAAAAACTGGAAAATACAAATAACGGAAATTTTTTAAACTTCTGGCTAAATATGATACAGTTTTGCAATATTGTATCAGGCAATTCAAATTTTATTACCTCGGTAAAAATATTAAAAATGAAATGATAAATCTTCTTGCTGATTCAATAAGAGAAAAAAATATTATGCATTGCAAGAAAACAAAGCACTTTTCCTTCATTCTAGACTGCACACCAGACCTGTCTCTAGAAACTGCACACCAGACCTCTAACTGAGAAACTGCACACCAGACCACTAACTGAGAAAATGTTGTTGACTATTTGTTTTTTTCAGATAGAACCAGAAATTGCCAATAAAGAACTTTTTTTTTTTTTTTTTTTAATTTAATTTAGGTGCCAGAAGTACTTACGGTGTTATCACAGAACACTGCGGTGAACTTCCAATTAAATGTAATTGGAAATTCACGCCTCCTTCCTAACCGATGTCGCATAACTTGCCCTGAGGTGGGGTTTGAACCACACCTTTGTTTCTGAGGCAAGTGCGCTACCACTGCGCCACTGCTCCTTTTGTTTGACAGTCTACAGGTAAAAACAAAATTTCATTTCGTTTTTACCTGTAGACTGTCAAACAAAAACTCACTTGACAGATGTTTTTTTAAATGAATTAAAAAAACTATGATTAGACATGCAGAACTGTCGAGGTCAAGATTTTGATTAAGGAGCAAACATGAAAAGTCGCCATTCTGCTGTTCAAACAAGAATTTTTTAGTCTAAACCCTATGACTTTTTTTGTTTCCTGTGATTGTCATAATTTGAATTTAGTTTTATTTGATTCTTCAAAAATCTTCAGTTTAGTGTTAGTTCAGTGTCTTTTTTTGGTTTTATTCAGAAATTGTACACCTTTTTTTCTGCAAAGAAATCTACAGATGATTTTTAAGAATATGCCATCTACAATGCGATGGCATATTCTTAAAAATCACCTTCGAAAAAAAAGTTTTACTCAGACACTCGATGGAAATCACGTTACGCAGTGTGAAATCACGTTACGCAGTGTGAAATCACGTTACGCAGTGTGAAATCACGTTACGCAGTGTGAAAACAGCGCTTAAACAGTGTGAAAGCATTACGTTACCAGGTCGGAGAAATAAATGACGCGTTATATGAAATAATTAGTAGTGATTCTTTTCCTATTGATTACGGAAATTAGGCTGAAATGCTTGGAAATCAATTGAAAGTTTAAAAAAAGGTCATTTTTTAACAAAAGTAATGATAACCCTAAACAAGATCCTAAAGAACGTTATTGAATAGAATTCTTCAATGTTCTTTTTGATAATGTAGTTATTTCATTGGAGGGAAAGTTTAATTAAATAAACGATTATGTATCAGTGTAAGTTAGTAAAAAACTTCCTTTGCTTCAAACCTCTTTTTCAGTTCTCTACTAAGACATACAATTATAACATTAAATGTCTAGGTTTTTAAGTTCTGATTAGTATGTGAGTCTCTGTGTGATTTATTCAGCATGTGATTCCGTGTGTGATTTATTCTGTGTGCGAGTATGTGATTCCGACTCATTTTCGGCCATTAATATAACAATTTCTTCGAATATGATTGACGATAAATAAGACGTCCTACCGCTTTATAGATTTCCGTACTTTTCAATATGCGTAGCTAAAAACGGGTCAAATTTTGCCACTAATTCACAAGCCATTTTTATATTTTATTTTTATATTTTATATAAATTTTTATATTTTATTGATTTTGATTTTTATATTTTATATAAATTATTATTAACGTTTCCAATTACTTGGGTTATTCTTCTTAAATTATTATTATTAACGTTTCCAATTACTTGGGTTATTCTTCTTAAATTATTATTATTAACGTTTCCAATTACTTGGGTTATTCTTCTTAACGGCAATGGTTGGTTTTTTTATAATGCTAACAATCCGTTTGAACGGATTGTTTTTATATTATTAACCTAAATATTTTTATATTTTATTTATTTTAACCTATATATGTTTATATATTATTAACCTATATTATTTTACTATAAAAAAGCTTATTCAACTTACCATAATTTCATAATTTAATAATTATTAAATAATTACCATAACTTTATAATTCTGAAAGGCTTTTCATTTTCATTTTTCCATAGCTATAATAATTGAAATATAATTATATTTCAATTTCTTGATTTTTACAATATTTCAATTTTTTGATTTTTTCCTGAAAAATTACAATTATTATTTTAATTATTATAAAAAATTGAAATATAATTATAAAAATCTAAAAATTGAAATATAATTATATATATAAATTACAATTATTATAGCTATGGAAAAATGAAAATAAAAAACTTTTCACCATTCTAAAATTATGGTAAGTTGAATAACCTTTTTTATTGTAAAATAATATTGGTTATTAAGTTGTCGAATTACATTAATATTTTTGTAAATTTCATTATAGTTGCAGTTATGGTCAAATAAAAGATTAATCGAATCAAATATAAAAGTTACGGTCGATCATATATCGAATACAGACCTTTAATTATGATGTACATATACTTTTTGTTTTGATGAAATGCGATAAACACTTATTAATCAAAAAATTAATCGAATCAAATAAAAGTTATGTTCGATCATATAACGAATACAGTTATGTCTGAATAAAAGATTTATTGGATCAAATTAAAGACAAAATTCGCTGATGATACTACCATAAATGCAGTTATAGAAGTGAGGTATATTTGACACACCTCTTACTATGATATACATCTACTTTGTTTTCAGGAAATACGATGAACACTCATTACAAATCAACGCAACTTTTATAACTACAAAAGTTTTTTATAGATATTTTATAGATATTTTTTTTCATATTTTCATACACTTATATTTTTAACTTATAGATTTTATTCCTGAAAAATTAAGATTATTATAGCTATAGAAAAATGATGGTAAGTTGAATATGGCTTTTTTATTGTAAAATAATATAGGTTAATAAGTTGTCGAATTACATTAGTGTTTTTGAAAATTTCATTATAATTACAGTTATAGTCAAATAAAAGATTAATCGAATCAAATATAAAAGTTATGGTTAATCATATATAGAAAAATGATAATGAAAAGGTTTTCACCATTATAAAATTATGGTAAGTTGAATTATTTTTTTTATTGTTAAATGATATAGGTTGTCACTTACTACCTAAATTTCATTATAGTTACAGTTATGGTCAAATAAACGATGAAGACAATTGGAATAATATGGGTGGAATTTTTCCATTGGCACCATCGAAATTACTAAATAACTACCACCGCTACTTATTGTATTTTTTTTTTTAATGCTTTATTAATACAAGCTAAAAATTCTTTATTTGTCATTTTTATATTGTTTTATAAACCAGCGTCTTTTTTCCTATATTTTTCAATAACATTTTTTCAATAATTATTACACAATTTTAAAATTACATTTCAAAAAGTATTATTATTATTGTTTGATTATATTAAATATTTAGTTATAAAGCAAAACTTTAAAAGATACAGAAACATGTGATTTTACCTTTAACTTGCCATCACTTATAAATATTATGTTTATCTGGTGACGATAAAGATATTAGTCTTATACCAACTTAAAAAATAAATATCGAGGAACAAGCATAACTTACGAAAGAAAAAATGATGACATGTTTAGACAGGGCATATAATCAATGCATAGTTTGTAAAAATGCATACGCAATGCCTGAGATCAAATGTATTTATCAATAGCATAAAAGTGCTCATCATGATGACATTTGCAATGAATTTTTTTTTCTTAACCATTAATTGATTTTAATAAAGGTTTGATAAACCCCTTTTTAATATAACAATCTATTTTTTGAGTGGGGGATGATGGTATTACTAAAATTAGGGTTGTCGATTATAATGAGAGAAACAGTAATGAGGAACTTCCACAGCTCCCTTCAAAGGAAAGTTTATTTAACAATCACAAATCTATTGTTGACGAATCAGGTATTTATAAATAATCAATCTGAATTTTTACACCGCAGTTTCTTCAAAAAAGTTTATTCATATAATAATAGATAGTTCGTATTTATTTAGGTGGAGGTGAAGTAAGCGATAATGTGTCAAACAGTGTGATATAGCTCAACATACTCTAAATAGAAAAATATCATTGATTTTTTTCTTACTTGTGAAAGTGAAAATTACTGAAGTACAGTAATAAGTTAACTTCTGTGTTTTTCTTGTTCTCTATTTGCAAAAGTAATGAATTTTTCTTTCTTGTATTATTATTGCAACAGGTCAAACTTCTGCTTCAGAAGTGCAAGTGAGCGGCAATTTTCTTGGAGTTCTATAAATGATTTCAAATAACAACAAAATATAAAAAAAAAACTTACAGAAAAAGCAGCTTATCGCCAAAAAAAAGAAATTCGGATGCAGGTTCATTACCTCTCATGGAAATCACAGATGAGTTCATCAAATCAAAAATCAAAATATTGAAAAGGAAGTACACCCCATTAAATATAGACTACTTGACCATTTTATTTCGATTGTGATTTCAACAAATTAACCGTAGCGACACAAGACGTGATATTTATTTACAAAACCATTATGTCTAATATTCACAGAAATCACCTCTCAAAAAATTTAATAATTTGATTACTACGCGCCCCAAACACCATAAGTACATCATATAATATATAAATATATATACGCCATCCGAAGAAAAATTTACTTAAATTTAAAATCATAAAAGTTTCTATATTAAACTGAATGTTTTAGCGGTTCTCGATGACAAGGTCTAATTGTTTTCTTCAATTATTCGCGTTTTTTATTCTTGATTTTTCAAAGATATCTTGAGAGTGATTGTTTGTTTATTTCGCTGTTCAATAGTGTATACAATTTAAAAGTATATAAATAAAAACACTGGCGAGTCAAGTAGAAAACATTATTTTTTCTTATCACCGAGCCCCAATTTTTAATAAAAAACAACAACAAAAAAAAATCATTTATAAAAAAGTGGTTCTTGTATAATTTTAACATTTAATACTATACCCAGTGGACACAAAACGTTCGTTGGACGTCAAAAGTACGTCCTACAGAGTTGTGAAGAGTTGTGACGACTTAAGGACGTCGTATAAATTTCTTACGGACGCATATACCTGCTGGGTATCATTAAGACAAAATAACGGACACAGCCGTTGAAATAAATATATTATGGATTGTATAAATCTTACATGTGCCATCATCTGGTCTTTCACATATAGACATTCGTTCCACTTCGCAATCAGATACATGCCACTTTCCTATTGAGTTTACTGAAACACATCCTGGAGACTCGCTCTCTTGATATGGCTGACCTGTGCCCCAATTTGAATAATCTAATGTTCCGATTCCGCTTTCCCAAGACCATTTGTGAAATAGATCTTCAGAGAGACCTAAAAATAACAATGATACTCAAACTACTTTTTCAAAACCGTACAAAATTAAAACCTTGTTCCTCGATAAATTTTTTTTTGGGAGTATTTTTAATTTTACTTTTTATTCTTTTTTTCGTCGGTGCGTCAGTTTTATTTCAAGTACGTCGACTTTGTCGTCAGAATTAAAACTAAAGTTTTTAAAGCCATATCTATAATAGCGTTTTGCAATGCAACACTGCTATCATAGAAAATAGCGTAAGGTTATGGTGACGTCACAAAATGCTTTTGTCCGCAAATGAATTCCATAAAGACTTGCGTTATTAAAAGGTTCTGTAGTTTCTGCCGCGTTTCAATTTCAATGCTTTGCTCTACCATGGAAGTAATATAGACTGAAGTGCATTCGCTTAGAAACACCAAAGGTTCCGAATACCGTCACAAAAACCATGCGTGAATATAAATAATTGGATATTTTCAAAAATCGCGTCTATCCATTAAGGGGTTGTCCATTAATTACGTCAACAAAATAGGGGGGAGGGGGAGTTTGAATTTTTTTGACAATTGTTGACACGGGGGAGGGGGAGGTCAATTAAAGTTGATGTCAACAATTTTTTTTTTTTTTGAGTTTCATTGCTTTAATAACGAAAAATTAGGCTGATTTAGTAGCGTAGTTTCTTTGTATTGGGGGGGGGGGGGTATTCAAAAAATGACGTAACTTTATGGGGGAGGTCTCAGGAAATTTGACAAATTGTTAACAATGGGAAAGGAGGGGGGGTTAAAAATTTCAAAAAATTTGTTGACGTAATTAATGGACAGCCACAATTTTAAATTTTAAGTTAATAATGTTTTAAACGGATACTTCATGCTCATATAAATAAAAAATAGCTTAGAAGTTAGCTGGAATGTTGCCAAATAGTTAGTTCTATAATTTAAATGAAGAGACTGATTTTTATGAGTAAAAAGATGGTTTAGCTGATGGCTGTTAATTCAAAAGTAGATTCCGTCACATACCTAAAAACCATACATATTAGCGTTTAGATCTTTAAAAAAAGTTTATGTTTTTTCAAATTGACGGCTCCATTTAATTTTATTTGTCTCGATAAACACGCATCAATAACAATATATATATATATATATATATATATATATATATATATATATATATATATATATATATATATATATATATATATATATATATATATATATATATCAATACTTGGACCTTTATTGTTTTTAGTTTATATCAATGATATTTTTTTGTCTTCAAAAATACTTAATTATACTATTTTTGCTGATGACACTAATGTTTTCTTTTCTGACTCAAATTTAAAAAATATTTTTTATTATGTAAACGCTGAACTAATATATCTTAATGAGTGGTTTATAGCAAATAAACTATCATTAAATATTGAAAAAACTAAATATATTTTGTTTGCTAAACCATCTCAATCCGAGAACCTTCCACTTAAACTTCCAGAACTAACAATTAACAATATTAAAATAAAAAGAGTTTTTTCAATGAAAATACTAGGAATAAATTTCGATGAACATTTAAATTGGAAAAGCCAAATAAAGTTAGTCGAGAACAAAGTTTCAAAGACTGTGGGGATTATGTACAGGACAAAACATCTTTTGAATAAAATATGTTTAAAAAACTTATACTTTTCATTTATACATAGTCATATTAACTATTGTAATATTGCCTGGGCAAACAATCATTCATCTTTCCTAAAAAATATTTATACTAAACAAAAGCAAGCAAGTCGATTAGTTTTGGGCGCAGATAGGTACGAAAGTGCCAAGCCGTTACTCAAGGAAATTAATGCGCTAAACGTATACGAACTAAATATATACCATAACTTGTTATTTATGTTTAAACTTCAAAATGAACTAATTCCAAAATATTTTTATAAAGGTTTCTCTCTAATTAACCATAAATATGAAACAAGACACTCAATAAATAATTACTACATCCCACCAACATCACTCAAAAAATCTGACTTCTCAATTACATGTCGGGGGCCACGCTTGTGGAAGTCAGTTCTTGACGAAAATATGAAAAAAATAAAATCTATTGATATATTCAAAAGAACTATAAAAAAACACTTACTAAACTCAAACATTACATACATTCTTTCATTTTTTTAAAAATAATATTTTTTTGATAAATTTGATAAAAAGCTTTTTTTTTTTTTTTTTTTTTTTTTTTTTTTTTTTTTTTTATATATATATATACATATATATCTTTCTTGTTTGATTTTCTCTTTGACTGTTTTTTTTTTAACTTTTTTTAATAAATACTAACAAATGAATTTAAATCTACATAACGTTTGGAATCTTTTTAATATATAAATATTTTTGAATACATACTTCGCTTTGTATTGAATATGTATACGTATATGTACTGATTTGTAAAAAAAAATTCAAACTTTTTAATTTACGCATTGTATACATTTTTATTTTTTTATTTCGAGATTTTATTATTATTATTATTATTATTTTTTTTTCTTTCTAATTTTTACTTTTTTTAATTTTTAATTTATTTTAAACTTTTTAATTTTTTTCAATCTTTTTACTTTATTTCAAACTCTTTAAATTTTTTTATTTTTATTTTAATTTTGTTTGAATGTTTGTTTATTTTTTCAAAATTTTTAATTTAACTCTTTTTTATATTATTGGAATTTTAGAAATTTTATATTTCTCTATTTCACAAAAGGGCTTGATGATAAGACTATGTCTTCTACTTGCCCCTGTCAGCTTGTAATTATATATATATTTATTCGAATTTAAAGATAACATTGTAAAATGTGTAAAACGACAAAATAAACTAACTATATATATATATATATATATATATATATATATATATATATATATATATATATATATATATATATATATATATATATATATATAATATATATATATATATATATATATGGTAAAGCTACAGTTACGTGGCCTAAAATAATTATATTTTTGCCAGGGGTTTTGCTACATCGACTACCTTATAGCCTGACTCGCAACGGAGTGCTGCTACATCAACTATCTTATACCTGCTGCTACAAGGAAGTGCTACTACATCGACTGAGGGTTTGGCATGGGGAAGCAATCTTTTTTCTTTTATTATATCGATGTTGCAAAACCCCCAGGCAAAAATATAACTATTTTAGGCCGCGTAACTGTAGGATTACCTAAAAGTATTTACCTACTTTCCTTGTAGACCTTTTTTTACATCAAAGCAAATTTTTATTATAAAATTGCTGCTACAAATTATATAAAAATTTTTAAACAGATTTCAGTTTTCATCAAGATATTTTTAGCGTTTAAAAGATTAGTCCATATAAAAAATTAACAACTGCCAATACAGTATGGTATAATATGACGGATTTTAATTCGTTTTTATTTGTTTCTACATGTCAAACTACCGGAAAGTTGTTGAAGCGTAAAAAACACTTAAATCCAGTGGCGTAGTGAGGTGGGCTGGGAATCACTTTTTATGGAACAGCAACTTAATGAAAATAACTAATTTCAATTTAAGTCGAGAAATGGCTTTGATTTTTCCATAAAAGGATCGCTTCAGAGTTTTCTTTTATTTTGATAGCAAAATAACTCTCGAGATCTAATTAATTCATTAAAATTAAATATGGCTGCATTTTTTTTGCAAGATCCCTAGGCGACGGACATTTGCCTTTAAGGAGCGAACGATAGATTTTCCTTTACAATTATCTTTAAACCTTTTCTTTTTTTTACTTCCATCTTCTTTTTTCAAAAATTAAGTCTGTTCATAATTGCCCCAAAATATATTGAAATGAGGATCAAGAAACAGTGAATTTTTAAATGTCAACTTCCGACAAAGATTTTTAAAAAAAACATCTAAAAATTATCGATTTTATACTTGCTTACTCATTTTAATTCAATAACAATGATAACCAATACTTATTACCCGTTACAATCAAACAATATCGCATTAGTTTGAGCAAAAAACTTTTAAAGTAAATTTTAAAAATAAATTTTCGCACTAGCAAAAAAAATACTTAAAGTTCTTAAAGATTTTAGAATATGATTTCTGCATACAAAATAAGCAAAGTTAATTACATAATAAATTTTAATTTACTTTATTGTTAATTTAGATTTATAATTAGAGATTTATAATCAAATGATTTATAATCAAAATGATAAGACCGTTCGGACCGTTAGGACTTATTTTACTCTGATTTTTTTATCAGTTTTTTTTTTTTTTTATTGTTAATTCGTCCCCCAAGGCCAAGAAGGCCACTACAGACAAGGAGGCCAGAAGTATATTTACGAACAAAATATATAATAGGCCAGAAGTATGACCACTTAATTGTGGTTATACTTCTGGAGCACCTTAATAACCTAAAAAAAAATTTAAACTCTAATTAAAGTAAAATTTAAACTTTTTTTCAGAACTTTTTATATATGTATATATTATATATAAATAATATTTTTTTCTAAATTGCATAAACTTGATGCACAAAACAATTATTATTATTTTCATTATCATATTTATTTATTTTAATATCAAAACACAATATAAATATTTGCAAGGTGAACCTCAATCGAAAAAATTTGACTGATTTTAGAGCATTTATCGAAAAAATTTGAGCTAGCGAGTTTATTTTTTACATACTTCAGAAGCGCCGTCCGACTTTGGTGAAATTGTTTACGACTTTCTTTTGTATTATGAAAAAAAGATTTCACGCATGGTTTTAGGAACTTCAATAGCGTTGCACTAACATCTATAATGCTTCCATGGCTCTGCATAAAATTATTCTATTTTTAGCACCGCAACAATGCGCTATTATTTTAGCGAAAGTCTTTAGCCACTCAGTATACTGATTTAATTACTGAAGTTTTACTTAATGATAAACTTGATAAGTACTTGAATGGTTTTGATATGAACGATATAAAAGTTACTTATAATTTTGTTATGACCAAATCAAATGACATATATAGGATTTTATTTCTGTCATTATTAACAACATTATATTATA